AATTTGTCAAGGTCCTAGTTTCAGACCCTATCCAATTCAAACTTATAAACAATAAAATCTTTTATCTTTATTATATCCATTCACGAGCTCACTTATCCAAATTAAAGGTTTAAACAAGACTCTTAAAATAGCCAGAATAACAAACCGAATAAGGTCTCTTTTTTATTGACGCTGTGTATTTAATATTTACAGGTATGAAAGCAACGAAAACATGACTATAACGTGTAGTACGAAGGTGTGCTCGTTCGGCAAACAAGTCGTGGAGAAGGTGGAGACGGAGTACGCGCGCTTCGAAGGTGGCCGCTTCGTGTACCGCATACATCGGTCCCCCATGTGCGAATACATGGTCAACTTCATACACAAACTGAAACATTTACCTGAGAAGTATATGATGAACAGCGTTTTAGAAAACTTCACTATACTGCAGGTTTGTTTGTTTCACCTATACTTACCTACTTTTGAATTGATAAACCAGTTTGTTGTTAAGTTCTTCACGAGAAAATCCTAGTAGAGGGTACCTAAATCTACCTAAACCTAAAGGGTAACGAGTAAGAGTGCCAGTTCCACTGACATTTAGGTTGTGTACGTGTAATTCAATACGTGCAATTCAATTAAAGTGTTGTGTTAAACTGATTGGTTTTTACAAATTATACAAAAACATAGCACACTGATCTAAGTGGTAAACAAATGCTATGGCTATCTAACGGCCATGAACAACCGCAGCTCGAGTCGGAGAAGGTCGAGTAGTCGAAGGGTTTTTAGTCAGTAAAAGTCTAACACGCACTCTCACCTCACCCAGAGCGATTATTAAATGATTTTTCTCCTCGAAAAATAACCCTGTCCCTTCATATTGAATTTGAATAACCCCCACATTTTTAAGTATAAAGTAATTAGCGACACTATGAACACTAGCGATTTAAAATGAGTGTGTGTCCAAAAGTCCCCAAGTGTCTATCAATAATACGATGAACCTGATACTGTAATATAATTTTGCCCACAAATTACGAAAAACTGACACCAACAACTCTGTTGTGGTAGACTGTAATTAAACGAACGAGTGCATTTAATATGCATTGTTTACTTTTAAACATAGTTATAGCAACATACAATGTAAAGGTAGGTATGTATTGCGATATACGTCGCGAGCATGTGGGGCATAGTACGCAACCAGTATAATTAAATACTATCCGTGGTTTCATGTGTTTATAGCGAAAACTAGGCAAAGGAAATACTCTAGTTTGTATTTCTAACTTCATTTTTCTAAATGATGTATCTTCATTCACACTTTAAAAGGTTTTTTTACCATCCTAACAATGTTTACGCGTTTATTATTAAGACATAAATTATATTGAGTTATAGATCGTTAAATGTAATTTGAGAGCAAAACGTATGTTTTATGTCGTTAATTTGACTTTGAAAACGGTAATTAAAATGATGATATATGGATTCACGCGTTTAATATCAGTTATATTCAACTACTGCTTTACAATGGTGTCTAACTTCCTCGCTGCCGAGGAACGACGAAAGGGCAGCTAGCAACAAAAAATAATAATCGAAATCTGTTCATCCGTTCTTAAGATTTGCGCTTAGGAACAAATTTATTAATGATCAATAATTGTTTAGTAAAATCAGACTATAAAATTCATTTGACAACCATATAACTAACATAATTAATAACAATTTTTAAACTTGTTAAATGTCTGTTTTTTAATATATGAACGTTTATCTTCCACAGGTGGTGTCAAACCGAGATACACAAGAGACATTATTATGTGCAGCGTTTGTGTTTGAAGTGTCGAACAGTGAGCACGGCGCGCAGCATCACATCTACAGGCTCGTCAAAGACTGAACGCCGCGCACCCCCGCACTACCCGCTCGAACTCGTACAACCATTCCTTACGCAACCCAAATGCAGACTGCGCTGTACCTACATTACAGTGCCTCAAACACTACCGGCACACGCGCATAATTTACACAGATTAACCCTCAACCATGGAATTGAAATCACCTATCCAACAGAATACGCATGCGCCGGTCGTTAAAAAAGTATATATGTACAGTTAATACTAATGTAATAGACTATAACCGCGATAGCCATCCCCCATGGCGCCCCCTCGCGGCCCCTACGAGTGCTGTCCTAATTTCACTCCCCTCGTACTTTCTCTTTAGATTCAAAAATAAAAATATTTGTTATTAAAACCTATAATAGCAAAATGTGATCTGAAAATTACGCTACAAGTATTTTTGTAACTGAGTGTTTATTATACATAGCTCAATTTTAAATATTGTCTATCGTAGTCCTGATCCCTTGAATCGGCAACTGATCGATTGGTGTCGTCGGTGTCTATGGGCTCCCTGTCTATATCACGTAGGTTCTATCCTCTTGCGTTTTTCATAATACTCTCAATTCTAAAATGTGTCTATAAGGTTCTAAGATAAAGAGAGTAACAATAATATTTTAAATAATTCTTAAAATACAAAATATCGTTCGGTATACTTCGCGTGTAAAAATATCATTATAAAAATTATATAGATTGAATACACACAGTGCCTCTATAATTATGTTACATTAACATAAATTACTTGAGCATATTTAGTCTTTTCACTGCGTTAAAATATTGAAGAGAAATTAAAATAAGATAATGTTAAAGTGAAAAGGTTAAACTTTAGTGTAGTATACCGTGAAAATAATAGGTTTAATAAGGATATATGTATAGCGTTACGACACCTATTCTTTTCAGTTAAGTGCTCATGGTACAATATACGTTGCTATTTTTAGTTATCTTCTTAAATAAACCAGTCCAACTTACTTCTGTCCTTTAGTATAGAATATCTTCATAAAATAATTTGGCAACTATTGTTTTCTTTCGAGTATTTTATTATGCTTTAATTATTATTTCATTTTGCCTTGTTACTTTTAGGTCTTTTTGAGACATAGCATTTTATCTAGTTTCTATGTACGTTTTGCCGATTTGACTTACTATTGCAGTCTTTGCCACATTAAATACTAGGTACTTAGGGTATGGTATTGTACCTACATTGTACATATTCTATTGTTATGTACGTAAGGTTGATAGTGTCCATGTGTTCACACGGTCTGCCAGAACTAGAACTGTGTAAATGTATCGTGTAACGCCTAGGCCGGTACGATCGTGTATCTACAATATGTACATATCTGACTATCAGGAACGTTTTCTCTATAACTATGTCACTCTTCGCGCGTTCCGAGGCAGCTTTACCCTCCCGACCCTTCTCTGTCCAACGTTTTCATTTCAACAATAAATCACCACACATCCTTCTATATTTTCAAGAAACTAATAAAAAGCAATATGGCCGCTTATGCTTCCAATTTCAAAGTACAAATGAGTGTCCACAGTACTCGACATACTTGCATGAATATGTAACGTGGCAATGATTTGATCTCTCTTTTAGTCAAATATATTTAGGGTCCTCCCGTGCGTGCAATGGTGCGCTCATTTAATTTTACACAGTGTTAAGTTTATGTGCATTAAATAGTATTTAGTTTCAAGACATGAGGTAGGAAAATATTATCTTAGATAATAAAAATAAGAGATTTTTGTATTTATTTGATAGAGTTATATTAGATAAATTGTAAAGTGATTAGATATAAGGTTCTTTTTTATATGGCGATAGTCGTTCAGGAACTTATCCGTGAAGTTGTCACATATTTAGTACTTAAGAGAAACTTAATTTTTGTTGCAACTGTAGATTCCTCTGTCCAATACTCTGTAATGTATGATTTGTTTGATCGAAATTATCCTTTTCCACTATTGTTAAAGAACCGTATGACAACTTTGATGTCTTCTAATTGCAATACGACGGCGTGTTCAATAATTAGTGAAAAAGATCTGCCCTGTTGTGATTTTATATTTTTAATGTTAAATATGTACTCAATGAAATGAGATTAACTCGATGTTATTCGAGTCCGGCGCGACGGCTCCGGTCTCGAATATAGTTTACTAAACTAAAACATGGAATTGTTTGATGCCGATGGCAATATTCAATATAGATATCGTTAGGTCGTGTTGTGTAAATAAAATAATTTTAGCGCATTTCTTTCAGTTAGTATTTGTAAGCGTTTTTTGCTTCTATACAAGTCTTTCATATCGACAATCAGCCATATCAATATGAAAATATAAAAAGAATTAGTCGGCGAAGTTGGAGACAATCATTTGCAATCGGACGCGAGTACCTTCAACTTTATATTGTTCTAAGTTTTTATGAATATTTCTTTTACCGATTTATTTTCAATCAAAATGGCAAATGATTTTTTACAATATTAGCCGACACTGTACAGTATTTTAAAGATAATACTACGTTAAAGATTTGTATGAAAATTTAATTATATTGTCTTCATAAAATCATGTGTATTATTATTCCTCAACCTTACTTTATCGTTCTGACGCCTTGATAACTATTTGTAATCATTATCGTGAAGAAAATCCGGATTACACTATCTCCTTAATGTTTTCATTAAATCTCTCATGTAACTCATGTACAAGTTAGTCAACATATTGCGCTAATTATCACAAACTATAGATAAATTCGATAGTGCTAGTTTTAGGATTCCATAGTGATAAAATTTATAATGGATTACAAGTTTATTTTAGGAAGCACAAAAAATATATAAAGGTGTACAGGTTTTTCAAGAGCAAAATAATATCTTAAATAGGATATTAATGGTTTTATATGAACAAGCTTTCCTTAAGATTGCGTTCTACCTATCATTAAACTTTAAACATTCTTATATCCTCTATAAATATGTCTATATGTAATATACTCTAGTTCAGGACTCATCAAATTGGTGATGTATCTGGTGATTAATGATGAAACCAAAACTAAAGACTTCTACATAAAAATGTAAAATACCTATTTAGGTATCTTGCTAATCGACATTCATTTGATAATGCCTATAATAATTCGACGATAAGATATCAAATCCCTTGCGAGGTTTAATCAACAAATACTGAAATTCAGTTGTTCGTGCGGTGTTTGAAGGTAAGTGTATTTTGTTTTGCTTATATTTATAAATAAGAAACTAGTGTGATGATACGAACTCTTCACGGATCGAGATAGGTACTCGTAAAGTTAAACATTACTACTAGCCAATTACTTATTGTGATAAAATAAGACCACTGAGTAGGTAGGTTGAACTTGCTATCCATAGTTTCGACTACTCGCACTGCTCGAAGAAGCTTATATGCATACTATATTAAGAATTCTCATCTCTCCCCTTCAAGAGTCCAGTAACGAACTTGGAACCTCTGTTGGTTAGAAACGCGTCTTGAAACAGTAGGATAGTTTTAAAGATTTAAGCATAAGTACCTACCTACATAGGTACTACAGGGATATGGGGACAGAGAAAGCGACTTTGTTTTAGAGCTAGGTACTATATAGTCATATTATTAATACCTATAAAAAATATTCACCTAGTTGCTAGGTACTTCTAATAGCAATCTTTTTATCCGAAAATGACCGTGTACTACATATAATTAATGTAATTTTATTTATCTATGTTTGTAATATATCTCTTAATACAGCTTACCTATCATAGCTTTAGCTTCTCATTATCCGGACTTCAGAACTACGTAAACATAACATTAAACCTGGGCAGTAAGGCAGAGCAGTTACTTTTTACTAGCCGGGTATTTTATTGATTTTGCGGGTATAAGGTACTTACCGCGACCTTGGCCTAGAGCAGAAGAAGGAACGGAGGTGTTTTTAGTCAGTTAGAGTCTGACACTCTCTCCCGCTTCACCCTGGGCGAGAGAAATCATTTTTTGAATAGAGTATGTTCTTGATCAATACAATATGGTTGATGATGCTAATTATAATCTATACCTAAGTACTAGAACTGTGTTCGTAAAAAAGTTTCCCTAACTCTTCGTCTGTTCGCTTATGAGTCTTATGACTATTACACGACTAGGTATTTATTATTAAGTATTTAACAAATGAGGTGTCTTTATAAGTCTTGAAGATGACTTTAAGTTACAGTCGCTCTGTGCTGTCTGAACCAACGAGGCAATTAACGACATCCTCAAAAGGATTAGGTATAGAAAAAGAATGTGTATATACCTACTGATTAAAAGCAAAATTAATTATTACGTATAATATGTATGTTATAAATATTAATTACATATGCCAAATTAATAAGAATTTTAATCAAAATTACTTACAGATTAGCGAATGAATTTCACTTATTTACGTTGTTGATAAGAAGCGGAAGATTATTGTTATTTAATATCTAAGTACGCAAAGCCAAAAATCTCTTAAAAAATGTACCTAAGTAGGTACCTTGACGTAGGTATCTTGCTTAACTCACGCCCGCATTTCTGCGGACAGAATTTAGGGTCAGTCAGGTTTGTGTGGTAGGTACCTGCAACCAGTCAGATAAGTTGTCCTACAGAGTTTTAGTGATCAGAATTATTGATAAGAAATGCGAAACTGAACGAAGGTAGAGTCCATTATATACCTTTTCTTAAGTATTTTTTTGTGGGGGAAAATCATCAAATGAATTCTCTCGCCCAGGGTGAGGCGAGAGGGAGTGTCAGACTCTTACTGACTAAAACCTACCTCGTTCCTTCTCCTGCTCCAGGCCGAGGCCAAGGAACATGACCTACCTATTGTGCTTGACCCGCAACCCTGGAGATATAACTAGATACTAAAAAGAAATTCTCAGTTGGTGTTTCATTTCGATACTATCTATTTATTATGTATATATCAAAATAGATTTACGTCAGCGAGGAAGTAATACTTTAGTAAGAATGTTTTAAAAATTTAAGTTTACCTTTTAGATGGCGATCTCCGTAAATATGCGATGGATCGCCGCAGCGGTGGTATTCTGTTCATTGCTGGCAGTAGGACAATTTGGTAAGTAAACTTGTGTGATAATGGAACGTACCTAAACTTGTACGTAAACGTAGCATCATTCCCAAGTAGGCAGATTATATATGCACCCACGACACAGCACAGCTGAGCAAGCGCATAAATTGAAAAGATATTCTCTGAAATAAACTCAGGAGAGAAAAGTTCTACTGTATACATACCTACACTAGCTACTCGCCCCAACTTCGCACAGGTGCAACACTGTGATACTGAACTTCTCCATTATTTAAAGAATGACATTATACTTAGGTAATTAAAACCTTCGTGTTTAAATATGGCTTTGTTCCGTACAGAAGCTTAACTTATTATATCTAGTACCCTACTCTCAAATACCAATCCACAATCCAGATTAGGTATAAGGTAGAGTTGTGTTGACACAAGATAAATGACACACTCAATCAGATACCAAGTCCTTATACGTTAGTTAAGAAAATCATAATGAATAGATACATACATATGTAGGTAGGTACGTACCTATCTACTTAGCTACCTTCATAAACAAAGACACATAAACAGCGACGTAACCCGCATCTACCGGATTTTTGCAACATACTACCTACATGTATTTATGTAGAATCGAAATGCCCTTTCAAGTGATAACACGTGCTCCGGTTCTGATTGAACTTTCACTTCAACGACTTTCATGAATCTTCATTCAAACACGTTTAACAGACTTTCATTATTAATTTAAGTTTATGACTAATTTGAATGATCTAATTATATTTCCAGTACCTAGGTAGGTACTTACTCCTTTTTCATTCGTTTAATAGACAATCATTTCACTTAAAGGACTATTGTGTTACATTAATACATTTAAGTTAACTAGAACTTAGAGCTATATGCACTCTCATATGATGAAGGAAAACAGGCATCGCGAGGAAACCTGGACTTATAACTTCTATAAATATGTTTGAAATCACCAATCCGCCTTAAGCAAGCTTGGTGATTAATGCGCAAACCTTCTCCGTGTGTTTCAGTTTCAGGCTTGTGCTTTGCAATGGGCACTTAGTGGCTGGTGATGATGATAATGAAATAGAACCTCATGGAGGATGTGCCCCAGCAAGTTAGAGTACCTACCTAACGCTATTCGTAAACCGACTAAGCCTGACCTTTTTTGAGGCGCGAATTCCAGATCTTCATTTTAAAACATTAACAGCTGCAATTTGGGTGCTAATGAAGAGATAGACTTCATGATTTTGATGTGTTAATGACAATGATTAAGTATTTTCTTAGACATAGAACCGTATACATATGTGTAACCGGTGGTACTATTTATTTTAATGGAAGCTAGTCCTTGTCCTTAAATTGCTTATAACTTTTGTAAAATTATTAATCTATTACAGCTGAAGATAAACCATGCGCGAGCCGTAGAGTTGGCCTCTTAAGGTCCATAGTCTGTGTGTGTAACTCCACCTACTGTGACACCATCACCAGAGAGAACCCAGCACGAGGCACGTACGTCGTCTATACTTCTACACACGTAAGTATGAATTTTTATTACAATAAAATAATTTAGAAAATAATGCACCAAGAGGTCCTTATAAAAAATAAAAATATAACACACAAAAATAGTAACGATCACCAAGATTAAGACCGCATTTTACCGCATGTAAAACTACAGTTTAAGTTTTCGATTCTTGCTATCATTTTTGAGGAAAATAATATTTTTTGGATGACTCCAAAAAAATATTATCACGACCATTTTTGATGAACTAACTAATTCAAGTAGGGGTGCCCTATTAGTTTTTTAAGTATTTTATGTATTGATTACCTCGCTAAGATTTGGCCATCATTTACTTACTACTTTTCGTTTTTGAATACGATTTGAAGTGTAGCAAGTAAGGGTATCAAAGCATTTTATCGTGATCATTATATTTAACCCCATTAAAAAATTAATCGAATTGTAAAGGCTTGGAGCCCAAAATAGCCTATTGAGAAATAAGACCGAAACCTACTATATTTTAATTCCTTTTAACACAGGGCGGGAAACGTTTCGAGAAAAGTTACGGTACAATCCTAACATTACCAGAACAAAGGTTTGATGACCCTGGTGACCTCGAGCCTGAACCTGAGCCTATAGAAATGGATTTTGGAGCTGGTGAACTTAAGAACTTACCTGATCCACCGTTCAAACAAGAAAAAGATGATGATGAAGAGGATGATGACGACGATGAAGACAGTGAAGAGTTTCAGAACGTTGCCGGCCGATCCGAATGTATGTTACCAGTGTATTTTGTACTTAAGCATTGCAGTTTTAAAATCTCTTTTTCCGGAACAGTAATTTCTCTCTTTTCTACTACTTATTCTTCACCAAAATTATAATAAATTGCTGAACCTTGGGTAATCATATTACGTTAAGAAAAAAAAAAATAAAAAAGTCACGTATTTAAATATTAATCAAAAAGATGACGCCAGTGCCGACATTAGCCCCTCCACCTGAATTTACCCACAATTAGTAGTTTAGTTCTAACATTTGATATTGACTCCCTTATCGGAGCGCAACAATATTTTCGTCCGGGATGTCCGTAGCCCTCAGGTACGTTGGCACTGGATGAGGTATGAGGTCCTCTCCTAGCTAGACTACTAACCTACTTTATCTACAGTGCAAAACAGTATCGTTCCATTAAATAGCTTTTTTTTCTTTTTCAGTCTTAAGCTACGTAGTCTTGAGGGTTTACCCGAGTACTCGCTACCAAGTCATTGAGGGTTTTGGCGGATCAGTCACTGATGCAGCTGCTATTAACTGGCGTAGTCTTTCCGATGCTACACAAGAGACCTTTATACAGTAAGAATCTGGGACTAGTTTGATAATCTTTATATATAAAAATTTCGTGTCACGTTACGTCTGCGATGGAAACTACTACCTAAACTAGGTAGTACACCGACTTTAAATTTGTTTTGTATTCCGTGTGCATTTTGATTTGATTCAACGTGAAAGATATGAGCTTACATCTCAATTTATAGTCACAATATTATTTACCTTAGCCACAGCTACGCGTGGCTGGGTCTGCTAGTTGTTATTTAAGAAGAAATAATGAAAAACCGTTGATTACGATAAGATTACAAATTTGGATAATATTGGTGTGCTTAAAATCGCCAAAACAGTTTTCAGAGATGCAGGGGTGTTTTATAACTATGAAACAACTTTTACTTACACCTCAAAATTTTATAAACATGCCTATTTTTTCGTTAGAGGCGTATAGTGTTATCTATTGTAGCACGTAGACTTCTACGAGTTTTTGATTTTTTACAATAAAACGGAAACATTTTATACTTAGGTACAGGTAGAATACCTTTAAAAACAAATCAAGACCCGTTCTTCGATAGGTAAACGTAATCTACGGTTGGTAATGAGAAGTTTATTTAGAAAATACATTCCTTTTTATGTGTGATACAACCGCAAACAAAACTTAGGTAGGTACTATTTACCTGATGGTAGGCACCTGGCTCCGTCCATAGGTACTCGTAACACCAAACCTTTTTGGGAATAAGGAGTTTGGGGGTAGATAAGCACAGGGGAGGGAGGGAGAAGGAGGAGATAAGGCCCCGAAACTTCACTCACTTCTCAAGATAGACTGCTAATCTAAATTGCACATATAGCTTATGTAAGAATTAATTGAGTATTTACATAATTTAAAAAAATAAAAATCATTTCATTTTCAGAACTTACTTCGGCCCAGAGGGTCTGGAGTATAACATGATCAGAGTACCAATAGCTGGTTGTGACTTCTCCGAATACCCGTACACTTACGCTGAAACTCCATGGAACGATGCTACCTTGTCCAACTTTTCTTTGTCACACCACGACTTCTTTTTGAAGGTAATATTAGGTACTTATTTATACCAATACATATTTTTTTTATGTTGAAGACCTATGGGCCAGCTTCATTAAAGTGATACTGGGCTAACAGAAAACAACACTTAACTATAGGTACTGTGTGAATGAGGTTACCGGAGGCACACATCTTGGCAACTCATTTTTTTATGTTATTTAGCTTTGGCAATCTGTTTTCAACAATAAGCCCTAATACACTGATTGGTATTTAGTGACTGGGCTTCTCCCAGTTGTACAGTCTCTTCTGTGCCTGCATTAAATGTGCCGAGGGACGTGGAAACTATTTAGTTTTTCTCCTCCTCAAATAGTATCTTTTGATTTATATTGAAATAAAGAAAAATACTGTATCTGGAATTTATTGGATAGTTGAAGAATCCATCTCTAGCTGTAAAATAATCGACACATCATACAAAAAAAAAAAATTTGAACGTTTTAGCTGCCAATGATAAAAAGAGCACAGAGCGTCGCCACGGATGAAATCAAAGTGACTGCAAGCACCTGGTCTCCTCCAGTGTGGATGAAAACGAATGAAGCGATCACAGGTTTTGCACAACTCAAACGAGAATACTATCAGGCATTCGCTGATTACCACTTACGGTAAGTTGTGTAAACACTAAATGACTAGTTCTTCGATCAGGGAACTGACCTATGCAAAACGCAGATTGGTTAGATTCGTTTTTGCATCAAATACTACTGAAAGTCACCACTCTCAACTGATATCATTATTAATCATCATCAGCCTGATTTCGTCAACTGCTGGACGGGACGGATAGGCCTCTCCAAATACACGCCAATGAGATCGATGTTCAGCTCTTCTCATCCAACCACTGGAGGGCGCCCTACACTGCGTTGCACTCTACTTCACTCTAGAACATATCATCATCATCAGCCTAAAAGTGCCCACTGCTAAGCAAAAGGCCTCTTTTCATACGGAGAAGGTTAGAGCATTAATCACCACGCTTGCTCAATGCGGGTAGGCGATTTCGAACTTATAATTAGAAATTATAAGTCCAGGCTTCCTAGAACATATACTTGCTTGTATATGTTCAACTGCTATAAGTAAAAGCGTTTATTGTTTTCGACAATCTTGTGACGAGAATTTCGTTTTAATTTACATTTCAAAACTATTTTATCTTTTTAGCTATTCTTAATAATTTTATGGATAATCTTTTTTTATTATTTCAGTTTTATCGAAGAGTACGATCGATTCGGCGTTAAGATTTGGGCTATAACAACGACAAACGAACCTATTAACGGCATTGTACCATTCGTGCAATTCAATTCTTTAGGATGGTTCCCTCATCAGTTGGTAAGTACCTATCTTCGGACATGAAGACTATCTATCTGATAGCAATTAAGTTTATAATTATACGCGAAGTTCATTGGTCATAAATTAACAATAAGACAATAATTATTACCGCATACCTACTCGAAATTTGGAAACAAAAAATACTTATCTTCAATCTCATCAAGACAGAATTTCACTCTCTATGTATAAGAATATATCATGTTACTAATCAACTCTCCTTAAAAACTTGAATATCTAGTATTTGTAGAAAACAACTATGCAGAATCGTTGTAGGTATAGGTACCTACCACACAACTATGGCAGAATAGTCTCTATGCATGCTACATATTTATTTATTTAATAATTTATGTACACACAGTAAGTTGGACAAGAAAATAATACAACAATTAGGTACAAAGGCACAGCTTATTTCTTCAGTTATCTACGTACATACCTACTACGACTGCATAGTTTCACAGCTTACTACGTGCCTTCGAATTCGTAGTCTCGTAGCCCGCCGGGTACCTACAAGTGCGTAGTCTTGCAGTAGGCTCTGCGTAACCTACGATTGTGTACATCGCACGCTACGGGTGCGTAGACTCGTGGAATGCTACGTAGATTTGTAGAATGTTCAGTACCTACGACTGTATAGACTCATAGTACGCTACTTACCTTTAGCTACGTATACTAATAGCGTAGCTACGAATGTGAAGTTAGAATAACCGACTACGAGTGCTACAACTAACACAACTGGCTTTGGCGTTATGTATTCTACCTAGTCGAAAACAAACCGCAATTAGAATGTAACGGGGGATGTTTACTAATTTTAACCACATTTTGTTATTGATTGTAGGGACTTTGTAATTCATGGAAAGTTTAGTTCGTTAGCAAAATTAGGTACCTATCTACATTTCCTTTTAAGAATTGCATTAGGTATTAGTTTTCTGGTGATACGTTATGAATGTTTCTTTTATCAAGCAAAAGCAAAAAATGTGGTGATGATGATGTTGTACTTATTATATTTTTTTCAGGGTCGCTGGTTAGCCGACAATCTAGGCCCTACGATAAAGAACTCACGTTACAACGAGACAAAAATCCTTGCTATTGATGATCAACGATACCTTCTACCAGTTTATTTAGCGGGCGTAAGTTCCAAAACCTTTTTGAATTTGCCTCTTTTAGTTCCCGAAGAGATACCTATGCTTAAATGCGCACTGGAAACATAAGACCTATAGGCTATAGCCACAAATTAGAGACCATTCCATACATTTCTGATTACCTTAGAACTCAGTAATACCTACTTACGTATATCGATTGACGAAGAAGTTAAATCAATTCTAAGAAGCAATAGAAAATAGCAGAAGTGTTTATAAACCGTGCCTGCAACTACCATACCAAATGTCATATACCTACAGAAGACTACAGAATACTACAGACATCTAGATACGAATAACCTGCAACGGTAGAGTCTAGATATCTACGTTACATTACCAAGCGTTAGCCTAGATAGGTACATCGCCTCAGATAATTGTTTGGAATTATTATTGAATTAAAGATTCAATTACCGTACAGACCAATTAATGTTTGTGTAATTTGGAAGAAGTTATTTGAATTTGTATGTGTATCGTGGTGACTTATTTTAATTTTCATTATATAATTCGCGCAGATGGAGCTCGCAGCCCCGGAATCCATAGATTACATGGACGGAGTAGCAGTCCACTGGTACGGGAACTTCTTCCCGCCACAAATACTGTCAGCTATCCAGAACAGATACCCGGGCAAGATTCTACTTGCCACAGAAGCTTGTGAAGGTATTGTTTTTCACTATGCAAAATATTGAAGATGATTAAATTTTTGTCTTTGTAACGATATTCACTGGATTGCCCATTTGGCGTTCGTCTGTCGTCGTCTGCGTCGTAGGTACCTCCTCAATCGGCCATGCAAATCGGCAGGTTAAAGTTATTTCCTTAACAGAAATAATTGGGTCGTATACACAATCATTATATGTCGCGCCCGACCTCTAACCAAAGTTACGCAGAACAATTTTGGAGCGCTATCGATCCCCTCCTACCCTACCGGAAGAGGGAAAAGTCGTTAATTAAGCCAGTATTTCTTTCTATTACCAAATCTTCAAACTCCAATAAGTCGGCGTGTAAATTATTGCAAATTGAACATAACGGGCTGCCTAATTTGCAATACTTACAAAATAATAGAAACGTACCTCAATCTCTAATCACTCTATGTATACGTTTTCAGGATCTATGCCTTGGAACTTAGATAAAGTGATTCTTGGATCATGGAGACGAGCTGGCACTTATGTCAAAAGCATCATTCAAGTACGTAGTGAAAAGTTATACTCTAGCTAAGCTATCTTAGGTTGACCCACTTGTTGATTTTGTGGTTTATTCCCGTTCGCCCCAACCTCAGCTCCCTGGGGCAAACGGGAATAGCCAATTCCGTTAATTACGTACGAAAATAGAACAGTGCACTTTTGAATATCGACTAGAATACTTTTTTTAAATTGTCTTCATTCAAGTGTGGATCTGTTAAATAATCTCTGTGGTCACAATCTATAACAATATTAGATTTTTTTGTATGCCAAAATCACAGTTCACTTATTATAGAAACATAATTTGATTTATTACAGGACCTGAACAACCACGTTGTCGGATGGATTGACTGGAACCTTTGCTTGAATCCCATAGGTGGACCAAATTGGGTGGACAATTTTGTCGACTCACCCATCTTAGTTTACAAAGACAGAGACGAATTTATCAAACAGCCTATGTTCTATGCTATGGGTCACTTCTCCAAGTTTATTCCAAGAGGCTCTCGCCGCGTACGAGTATCGCGAAGAAGTATACTCAGTGTGGAAAATGTAGCTGTTAGAAAACCAAATGGCAATCTTGTAATTGTATTGCAGAACAGGTAATTTATGAGTTTTACATTGATGGGGTGTAGGACTTCTTGCAGCGGGATATTCTTTTGAAGCCTAGATCATGTTTATGGAGGTTGCACTCTCTCAGTGTCCAGTATTTTTAGTCTTAGAATATTGTCAAATGAATTTAAAAAAAGAACTGGCAGAGTGGATTCAAATTCCGTAATTAATAATTACTTTGATAGTAATTATATCTAAATAACATTTATTAATTGATAAAAAATTAGGTACTATCGGGACTGCTAATTAGCGATTATAATGGCATATAATTTCTAAAAACTGTTGTTGTTTTATTTTTCAGACGAAGAAGACTAATGAAAGTGGAAATTAGAATAAGCAGCTCTAGATATATTGATATATTAATGGAACCAAGATCAATAAAGACAATAGAAATTAATCCTTAGAATAAAAACACTGATGACTAAATAAACTTATTTATTTTATAACAAATACATACTAATTTCACAATTTTGTTTTTTTTTTTGTTTGGTCACCTAATAATAATTAAGCAAAAATAAAAATCAATTCACTCTCTAAATAACAAAAGTCATTACCATAAATTCATTGTAGCTTTATCTACATCACTTGGGCGCTTACAATAAAGAATAAACCATGTTGGTTTAATATCACTGGTTTCCTATTATTTATGGTTTCAACATTGGGACATTAACGCGATTTTATCTAACGGCCAAACACGACAAACAACTCTACTTCTAATTAAGCCTTCAGGAACAGGTCCATAAGTCCTTGAGTCTGCGGAGTTACTGGAATTATCTCCTTCTAACCACACATGGCCTCTAGGAACTACTTGATTACGTTTGGGAAAGTTACCTCTAACACGGTCACCGGGAAGACCAGTTATCCTCTTACAAATATTTTGTTTAGGATTCGAAGGGCTCCGAGATATAACAATATCTCCGCGCCGTAGCCGCTGCAACCGTGGTGATACATGTTCAGTAAATAGTATGTTGTTTGTTTGAAGCGTAGGTTCCATTGATGGACCAGAGCACTGCAAAAAAAACAAAATACAGACTTAGTTATTGCGCAGTTGCGTGAAAGCTGTCGGTTCATTCATAATTAAGTCATACCATGACGAAGTCTCCTACGTATTCAAAAGTACAGTGGGTAATGCAGGCCGTTTGAAAAGCATACCCCATAAACCCACAGGCCTTACCAACTATTCTCATAAAAGCCATCTTTCAAGGTTATGTTTTCAAAACTTTTTGTAAGGATTCTGACAAATTTCTCATTGCTTTTTGTGTTAATCGCACTATCTTAAACAGCTATTTATTCAATAAAACATTATTGGAACAATGGTTTCACTGCAACATCAAGGACATTGAGAATTTGATAAATTCTGGCTGTCTGCTAGTGCTATTTTTCAGTATTTTTATCATCTGTCACTGTCAGCAATACTAATGTCATACTGTCAAAAGTTCAATGTGAATGTCATATGTCAAAAAATGTCATACCTACGTTCAGAAATGTTATTCGGCTGCATCATGGCTGGATAATACAAGTTCGATATGACGCGCCAGGTGCGTCAAGCAAGGGCCTCCCGTGATATTTGCTTATGACGAGCCTGGGGCGTCATTGGCCATGAATCGGTTAATATATGGGTAATGGCATGGATTGAATCAATAAACTATAACAATATTTACTGTTAAATCATTGTCAATAATTATCAGAAGTGGTGGTTGACAACACGTCCGCCGATGAACATAGGCCTCCATGACTTCTGAATCATCCAGCCCCCAATCAGACTATATGTAAATACGGCTGGTCATCCTAGACATCCATGAATTGTATTCAAAAACCGTTAGGCCGTACGAAATGTAAAAGATCAATGAAAGTCAGTGATTTTTTTGTTTATGAATCGAATTCCGTAAGAAACATCAAGTGTAGCCGTTTCCATAGCCGGCAAAATATTGAGTGTCGTGTATGTAACAAATAAAGAGTAAAATTCACATTATTTTTTGAAAAAAACATTCGGATATCCAGATCTTTATTATTTTTAAATGTGAATTAAATACCTACTACGAGATATCGAATCGAATAAGTATAATTAGTCGAGTTGAAACGTCTCGAACGATATTGAATTTGAGCTGGTTGACATAATGACAGCAGGCAGCAGGATCAAACAGATTATTGTGTGGAATTCACTGAGACCTATCGAACTCAGAGTTTCATCATAAATTTTGTTATAATAAAGTGAAATAATATTATCCACGGTGCACTAAACGTTTATCTGTTTATTTTATTCATTGGCTTCATATCAAAATTTAAAGTGAATGAAAATTTCTTGCGACACGGTTAACCCATCAGCTTTCACATTATTTCGTTTCTATGTGATTATTTTCACAGAAATTAACGGGTGCACTATTTGAGATATTTGTTTTCTACTTATCCAATAGTGTTATTAGTATTCGTGGTGTTTTATGTTTATCCTGGCTGTAGTACAATCAATATTGCATTTGAACCTATTGTTGTGAAATGAGTGTGCATATTTAGTGTACTACTATCAAGTTATGAGCACCTGATGGAAGATTAGCATCGCCGCCGCAGCTTAGGAATTTCATACCAAGTGAGTATTTTTTTGTTCATGGTGTTAGTTCCCGTATCTTGGAATTATGCATGAGTCACACGAGTTTCGTTGTCAGGTTTACCACTGATAGGAATAAACAATGGCCTGTTTAGAATAAATTTGTTAATGTTTGTGTAAGATCGTTTATTAGTAGTATTTTGAGTTTCCTGTTGTAGTATCAAATTCTATCAGTAAAATATGATAAATCCATATGGTAATTTAAAAACTAATAACAACAGCATATTATATTGAATTAGGAATGTTAATTCAACAAAGCATTATGTTAGGCACATGGCATTTTTATTTATAATATTTGGACTAGACCAGTGGCATGCAGTAGCATGAAGGTAAACATACAAACACCAATTAATTAGACATTAACTTGAACATTTTATGACTAAGATTTTAGCAAAATATAGCTGATAATTGTACATCAACTTGTCATACCTATATGTTTCGACTGAAAGCATAAACATTATTGTAGTAAGTAGCTCATGAACCCTGGGCCTAAGGGCAATGTAAGGTAAATTTATTATTAAAAATTTACTATTATACTCTGTATTTATTTTTTTCTATTTTTTCATATACTTCATACTGTTTTATACTTACTTAGAAAGGATCTTCCTATATTACTACGTCAATTTTAATTTATTGACTCAAATCTTTTTTGATGACTAATGACCTAAACAAAATTTTTTGCAGTAATAAATATTGTTTAGTAGATTTTCAAGAATGAATGTCTTAAATGTTTTATTAATTGAGTACTGATTAGGCTTGGTTCTCATTAACTTATTACTATGATAATAGGTTAAATTGTTGCAAAATGCACAGTAGGAACTTTCTAATGCTGGAAATTATAGCCAAACACAACTCTATTACATTGAAATACAACATCAAACATATTTTAAAAAAATGTGTCAAGCCAACAATAGCTTGAACTGTTGACTTACATACAGTCTCCATTTTCCCCATATTTAGTTAAGGCTAACAATTTTATTATCTTAAGACTTTCATCAACATAGTCTAATTGACAAAAAATGCATTAGGGCTTAGATAATTTAAACAGCTATTTACACTATGTTAGCACATATAAAAACCTTTTTAAAGTGCCTACAATACGGTAGTTTCCAACTAGTCAAATTCAATACTTTTATCCAAACGTCTAAAACGATACTTTTCTATGAAATTTGTATGAAAAACTGAGCTATGATGTCATAACATTTTTGGGTCAAATAGCTTACTTATTTCACAATAATTAGCTAAAAAAATCTAAAACTTGGTGTATCAAGCAATCGATGAATAAAAGTATAGTTATTTTTCAATATTTTATTGTATTGAAACATCAAAATAATTTATTTTTGACCTAGGAAACTACCCAATTAGCACTGTTTTTATCTGTTACAATTGTGTAAGAAAATAAGACAGTAATATTGATCCATATTAAACAGGAGTTTTAATTTTGCTTGTAAAGTAAATAAATGTTGCTATGATGTTTCAATCTTTGCATAAAATTATTTAAGAACATCCCCTTTAATATACCACTGACATTAAGTATCTGTGTGCTCATGAATTGTTATTAAATTAATCTTATTTCTTCAACAGATACCATGGGGAGGTTTTCGGGTAAAAAATGTCGACTATTGTCGATGCTATGGCTGACCGGGAGCTTCTTCTTTGTGGAGCTGATTGTCGGCTACATCACCAACTCTATGGCCCTAGTTGCAGATTCATTTCATATGTTAAGTGATGTTGCCGCACTTGTTATCGCATTTTTATCAGTTAAGGTGAGTTTCCTTGTTTTTATATTATAAAAAATAAAAATAAAAAAAAATAAAAAAGCCTTATATTTCCCAGTTTAAAAAACAAAAAAAATATTACATTTACAAACAAATTTTTACATTAATTTTATTAAGGAACCCCTGAGGTGAAGGCCTCCTCCAGAGACTGCCATTTTTCTCGATCTTTTGCTGTATCTAGCCAGCGTACTCCAGCCGCACGCAGGATGTCGTCCTCCCATCGTGCGTGCGGTCTTCCTCTTTTTCTTCTTCCTATCGGTCCTTTCCATGTTGTTATTAGTTTTGTCCATCTATTGTCCTGCAACCTTGCTACATGTCCTGCCCATTTCCACTTGAGTCTAAGTGCATATGAAACTGCGTCAATTGCTTTGGATTTTGATCTGATTTTTGAGTGATGAATTCTGTGTTGTTTTTTAATATTGAACATGCTGCGCTCCATTCCCCTTTGGCATGTGATAATTTTGTTTTTAACAGCAACACTATATTTCCATGTTTGACATGCATAGGTTAAGCATGGGAGCAGATTTGAATCCATTACTTTCTTTTTCAGTTCCACTGGGAGGTCGCTTTTGAATACTTCTTTTAGACTCCAGTATTTATTCCAAGTTTGTTTAACTCTCCGTTCTACCTCTAATAAATTACTTTTTTTAGCAAAAGAGATTTGCTTTCCCAAGTATATGTATTCCTTGACGTATTCAAGAGATATGTTGTTGGCATTAATAGGTATTTGTATACTGTTAGTCATAATTTTTGTTTTAGTCAAGTTCATTTCAAGACCCACTTGTATGCTTGCAAAGTGCAATGTAGTTATCATGTGTTGCAATTGGCTAGAGCATTCAGACACTATTACTATATCATCTGCAAATCTTAGGTGAGTAAAGTATTTACCTTGTATATATATGCCACAGCCATTCCAATCCAACTGTCCAAAAACGGTTTCCAACACAGAAATAAAAAGTGTAGGGGATAATGGGTCACCCTGCCTTACTCCTCTCTTTATATCTATTTGTGGACCTAAAGTTTCTAATTTCACCTTGCTAGTACATTTTTCGTAGATGTTTTTTAAAACTTCAATATATTGTCTCTCTACGTTTTGTTTTCTTAGTGCGTCCCATATACTTGAGTGTGATACTGTATCGAATGCTTTTTGATAGTCGATAAAGGCAATATACAGAGATCTCTGCTGTTCTTGGTATTTTTCTATTAGGAGCTCTAAAGTATGTATGTGGTCGACGGTGGAGAATCCTTTTCGGAAGCCAGCTTGTTCGACTGGTTGGTGAAGTTGTATGGTAGGGCTTATTCTTTTTTCAATAATTGATGAAAACAACTTGTAGAGGCTTGGTAATAGACTTATAGGCCTGTAGTTTGAAATATTTTTTGGGTCTCCTTTTTTATATATCAATATTATGTTGGAATCTGACCATTGAGAAGGTGTGGCAGCAGTATCAAGTATACGATTAAATAAATGCGTGAGAGGGTGGCATAATACTGGCGCTCCATGTTTTAATATTTCGTTAGTTATATTGTCGGGGCCAGGGCACTTGTCTATTTTTAGGTTTTTTATGTTGGTGAGGATCTCTATTTCTTGTACAGGTTCTATTTCGGCAGTGTCACTGTTTTCTATATTTTCTAGGGTTGCCTGGTGACCATGTGGTATCGGTGTTGTTGGGGTGTTATATAGATTTTTGTAGTATTCGGTAGCTATTGTAACGATTTCGTTCCTGTTCTGCGTTATTCTCCCTAGGTTATTCAAACTGTCGATCCAATTCTTGTGAGTTTGTAGTTCCTTTCTCGCTTTTTTTATACTTCCAGAGGTTTTTAGGTGAAGAAGCAGGGTGTTTTTTTTATAGTTGAGGTAGTCATTTTTTATATATTTGCTAGTAAGCTTATATAATGCTTTTAGCTCGTTTTTCATACTTCTTGTTTTGAATTGAGTTCTTTGAAGTTGCTGCCTTCTCTCGAGAAGAGATTTAGAGCGCTCTGATAATTTTGAATTTGTATGATTCCTGGTTGTTGGGGTTATATGTTGTAGACTTTTGCTAATTGCGTTTAAAATTTTATCATAGTTGTTTTGAATTGTGTCTGTGTCTTTTGTTTCTTCCGATAATTTAATGTTTTGGTAAAGATTATTCCTGAATTCCATTATTTCTTTCTCGGTTTTTAAGGTTCTACAACACCTGCTAGTGTAGTTTGCTCTACTTCGTTTTATATTGGCTAGTGTTAATGTTGATCTTACTAATCTGTGGTCAGATGGAAAATTTATGTTAAGTACTTCTAGGTTGTGAAATGAGTCGGGGTTGTTCGATAGAATAAAGTCTATTTCATTCCTATATTGTCCGTTAGGTGATTGCCATGTCCACTTGCGTCCAGGTCTTTTCTTAAAGAAAGTATTTATGATTGATAATTTATGTTGTAGGGCAAAATCGATAAGTTTTTCTCCTCTTACGTTTCGTGTACCGTATCCGTTTGTTTTCATGATTAAAAATTCATCGCTTTGAGGTTGCCCTATTTTTGCATTAAAATCACCCATGACTATGATTTTCGTATGGGCTTTTTTCATGGCTTCGTTTAGGGTTGTGTAAAACGTAGTTATATCATCCTCGCTGGCTGATTCCGTTGGTGCGTAGACTTGAATTATTGTTAATTTGTAACTGTGTATGTTCAAATTTAATATAGCTATTCTGTCCGATAGACCGATGTAACTTTCTATGTGTTGTTTCAGGTGTTTCTTAACTAAAAAGCCGATTCCGTGATACCCAGCTCGTTCACCTGTATAGCATAGTAAGAAGTCCCCATAGTCTTCTATTTGATTTCCTAGTCGTCTGATTTCCGATAATCCCAAAACATCAAACTTAACATTTTTTAGAGCTTCTGTTAATTCAATGAGTCTTTCATATGTTGATAGTGATCTGATATTGTAGGTGGCAATTAATATTTTGTTATCATTCTGTTTATTATTATGGTTTTTACTAGTATTTTGGTACTCTGGAGGGTTTTGGTCGTAATCTTCCTCGGTGACCGGCCGTGGTGGAAGATAGGTATTTGTTTTTGCTTGATTTATTTTGCTTAATTGTGTTAGTTTACGTTCAGTTTGTATTACTAATTGATTTTTATTTCCGCTGTGTTCGTTTATTTCATTGTTTTGCCGGTCCCCGAGTTCAAATTGTTATTTTTTGGTGTCGTTCGACCCAGAGGCTGTTGGACGTGATCGCATTCGATCAAAGACATTTGCTCGGCTTATTTTTTGTGCAGGTTTTAGAGTTATGTTACCATCAGTAATTTCCTGGGGACTACGTGTTGGTGATCTCTTCCTTTTTTCTTTATTTTTATTTTCATTAACCACCAGTGTGTCGTATCTTATGAACGCATAATGTCCTTTATTGCGTTCTTCTTTGAGTTTGTCTTGCAAGGAGCGTCTTATTTCAAGGACATGTTTTGGAAAATCTTCAGTAAAGTATGTGTTCTCAGACTTTTTCTTATTTTTTAATATTTCGTATCTTTTCCAATTAGTACTTATTGTAATTTTAACAGGCCTCGCTTTACCGGTTTTATGTTTTTTCCCTACACGATATGCCTTACTAATGTCTCGTACGTCGCAATCAATTCCTAAAGTTTTAATTTCTTCTGTTACCGCTTCTACGAGTTCTAAGTTAGAATTTTCTTTTTCCTCTAGACCAAAAACCATCAAGTTGTTCATTCTTTTCTCCCTTACATCCATGTCTATTTTCTTTTCGAGTTCTTCTACTCTTTTCTTCAGTTTACAATTTTCTTCCACAAGTGGTTGCAGCCTTTCTTCCATTTTCGACATCAAGCTTTCAGTAATTTCTTTAGTTTGATTTTGCATTTCAACTTTAATTTTGTCGAAAAACTTTTGAAAGTTTGCCTCCATTCTCAGTTTATAAAAAGCTCCTTGATTTTATACTTCGCAATTTAATCGGAAAAATTTGAGATTTTTTGTTGCAACACAAATTTGCGTTTGGTATCCCAGTATAGTTTATGGTTATTTATCGTAATTTGTCACACTGGTTGTCAATCTGTCATTGACTACACGACATTTGACACTTAGCGTCAAACTTAAAAAAAACACTAAGAAGTGGGTAGGAGTTTATTTGGGTGAAGTTTAACTTTGTTAGGAGTTTTTTGATGCACTATTTTTGTATTATTAGTCCACTATTTGCACAAATTCTCTGTTCAGTACATAGGTTGAGTCTTTATCTTCATAATAAAACCACTTTTCACATCAATGGCTTCGAGTAGCCTAATTATTAGAATTAATTTTTCGGGAGCTAACGAGCGATATGTTTCACGAGTGACAGCCGGAACCGGAACTCCCTCCTCCTTGTTTTTATATTATTATACTTAATTGAAACCAGATACAAACCTTTGCTACATGCATATACATATAAGAAGTACAAGACACACTTTTAACCTGTTATATTATAAAGTCTCTTTAGTAAGGATTGGGTTGCATTTGGTGGTTTCAATTAGCAATTTCGAAAATTGACTCCTAATTCCATTTTTGAGTTTTTGTTCTACAATTTGCCGACCAAGTAGTTTAACCGTTTGCTAGGTTCGGCAGTTCTGCTTGCGACTAATAAGCATTCCCTTGTTCCATTAACATAAATTGAATGCTGATAATAACTCAGTTGTTACAAATTAAATATAATAAAATGTACAGCTGTCTTTGTCGTCAATCGTCAATGTATTGTTTTTCTTGTCCTTTGTATTGGTACTTGCGTGTTTGTAATTTGTGATTGTATATAAACTAACTTATTTATTGATAACAACTTTTATGTTAATGAGTTTTGTAAAGTCTTAGTTCGATATTTAAAAGAGAAGATGCTGGCAGTGGATGATAATTATGATTACACTTAACAGTTTTTATATTAATATATATTTTGCAAATGGTTTTATCTCGATATCCAAAGAAATGTTTTCTATGTAATGATTTTCTATTTATGATCATGATAATGTGTTATTAAGAATTGTCTTGATAGCTAAAGTACAATCATAATAAATTTTCTGCCTGACCTAAGGATAAAATCAGTTAAAATCGGAAATAAATACTCCATATATTACTTCTTTTAATAGATAAATAGGTACTTACCTAATTACCTAGTGTGTTGTTGATAAAATATTTATCTAATTTAGAAGGTTGATGCATATATTAACAACAAATCAAAGCAAAAAATATTTTCCTTATAAAACAAGTTGTTCTCATGATACCGTATATTTTCTCACATCACTTTAGTTGTAAAACAGATTCAATGAAGCGAATGGCGTCATGACATCATCGCACTAACTGTTTAGGAAGTAACGTAAAGCCCCGTGTATCACATCTCCAATCTAGTGATTCATAATAATAACCTTAAAAAATGTATATTAAGTGACGTTATATGCCACGTAATGTGTTACACGTAAATAGTTCTGTGAATTCAAAACTAAACCATACAAGGATATTAAAAGTGGGTCGAAAAAATATATTTTCGTATTGAATTCGACAATTATATCACAGTTATGTCTCTGTTTTATATTACCTAATTGCCTACAAGTAGCATAGCAGACTCTCGACTCAAGAAGTCTTAAATGGGGCAACAGTTTATTAAAAATAAATTTAATAAGCTGTTGCTCCATTTTAATATACCTATAACATAAATTCTGAGAAGTGGATGTGTGGATAAACCACACTGCTCAGTGAGAAATTATCTGTTTGGCTTTCGCAACATAAATAAATTTCTCCGGTCGTCGGTGAGAGATGATCTACGGTCACTGTAAGCGCGGGTCTGCGGGCGGCGAGTAAGGGTAGCTCGCTGCCCGACCATTACCAGACCCGAGCGTTTGGCGCCAAGCGTTTCACACAGACGGAGCTCTGAGGGCCCGAGCCCGCAGCCGCGGCCTTGTTTTTTTTGTCAGGGGAAAATCGTTAAATGACTTCTCCCACCCAGGGTAAGGCGAGAGAGAGTGTCAGACTCTTACTGACTAAAAACCCTCCCGTTCCTTCTCCTGCTCTGGGCCGAGGTCGCGGTGCCTCATTGCGCTTACCCCGCAGCCCCGGCCGCGGCCTGACAGCTGATGTCAGCCAGGTTGCAGAGTAAGTGCAATGAGGCACCGCGGCCTCGGCTTAAAGTATAAGAAGGAACCGGGGGTGTTTTAAGTCAGGAAGAGTGTGACACTTCCTCTCGAGTGTCATTTGATGATTTTCCCCTAACAAAAAAAAAACATAATTTTGCTAAACAAATCTTCATAAACAAAATAATTATGAAAAAATAGTATTAACTTGTAACTAAACACAATTTATTTCACACAGATGTCGCCAAAGAAATGGTCAAAGAATACATTCGGGTGGGCCCGTGCCGAAGTGTTGGGCGCGTTGGTCAACGCAGTGTTCCTCGTTGCACTGTGCTTTAGCATAACAGTGGAGGCTGTCAAGAGATTTATTGAGATTGAGATGATTCACGACGCAAGGCTGCTGGTCGCCGTCGGTACTCTAGGGTTGCTGCTCAATATTGTGGGCCTGTTCCTATTCCATGGTAAGTATCTTTTAATCGTTATTAAACGAAGTTAATAGGTTTTGAATGATACTCGAGGGAGTTTTAACCAATTTTTTATGGGATATGTCGGCAAACGATCATTCGGATTACCTGATGCTAAGCAATCGACGATGCCCATGGACACCAACAACACTAAGGAGTAACCAGTGTGTTGCCCGTCTTTTGGGGATAAGGGTTTCGGATACTTAAGGATTGAGAAGGGATGGGGAGAGAGGGAGGGATTGAGCCTCCGGTAACCTCACTCACACGGCGATACGTAACTCTGTGATTGTTTCACGCCGGTTTTGCTGTGAGAGCCTGGTATCACTTCGGTCGAGCCGACCAATTTGTGTCAAAGCTTGGCTCTCCTCCCACACTTGAAATGAGATAAATGAGAAAGCGTTCTGTCCAGTGCAGTGGTATAATTTTTATCAGAGCATATGCATACCATAGAATGGTTCTTCATTGCTTTTGTACCACACTATACACAATTTTGAGGAAAATACAGGGTGAGGACTAATCTACTATTTATAAATAAAAAAGATACAGACACCACTTGTTTTGATCGCGTAATACCTTAATACTACCATGCTATCGCTCATCGACCTTTCTAACATGTGGATTACTGCACTTTCAAAAAGATTAAAAGGTTTTTACTACTATCTATTTATGTCGTAGTAGTCCGCAAACAATATTCTTTTCATAGTACAACTAATTGTTTTTGTATTTACTGTCTTTAAAATTGATTGCAGCCATTGTAGTAACAATATGTAATCTACTATGGTTTATCATGTCATGCATATTGCGATACGCATAAATCAATCGATTACAAACATCATTCAAGTAAAATAATACGAAATAATTGAGGATTGTAATGCAAGACCAAGCTATAAAAATCGTTCTTATTCAACGGTTTTGTATAATAGAAATACAAAACATTGATTTCGTATTCAAAATGCGTTTAATAATCCTGCGTGCCGCTACGTCCTGCTTAAATTTTATTATATCAAGATTACGGCTGAACCTTTATCTACATTTAAAGACACGCGATACAGTTTATAAATTTTACAATTATACAACATGATTCATGACAATATTTAAATATGCAGTTTTTATTTGCAAAGTTTCCAAGGATTGGTTGATTAATAATAATATTACACGCTGGTAACATAGGAAACCGAAGGAATTCTCCAGGGGACATCCTAGGTCCCATTCGTATTTTACATAACTTTAGTTGTTGACGAAAACACATTTACCACACGCATTAAATATCTAATCTTAAAAACCTCGAGATGCAGTCCAAGAGAGTAAGTCAAAGCTTACAGTAAGTCGACCTTGCTGTTACGTCAGAATAATGCAAACATTCTTTACGACCGGTATAGGCAGTGGAGTGGACCCACATCATAAATATTTATTACTTGTTTTTAAACAACTGACCGAGTCGAATTTTGATTTTTTCTAACGTTTGTATTCTTTTTCTTACTTCCTCGAATCGTAAATCGATGTTTTCCGGTTAGAGTTATCGAATTTAGTATGCGTAATTATGAGCCATTTTGGCATCTAAGGCTTCTTCTATCTGCCTAACAAGAAAATATGCTACAGCCGAACTGATTCTAGATATATGCACGGTAAAAGTACTGTTTATATTGAGGTATACTGTTTGTGTTTAAGTTATGTTTATTGTTACGACAAAGTTTAGATTGCACGATGCTTCTAATCCTGAAGTTACGAACTACTATGTGCACATCTGTAAGCCTAGTTCCAAAGTAGGGCTTAAAAGTTACGATTCTACTCTCTGCCAACATTCTAGGGAATATTTGCATACAAAACTACAGCGAACCTAACAGTGCAATACAAAAATGAAAAGGTTCATTAGCAACGTGTAATGTTTATTACTTGGAAGTAAATTAGACCATTAAACTCGTTGTCTTGGGCGCCTTGCCTTATCATAATCGCCGATACAGTTTGCTCTACATTTTAAGTGGTTTCTGTTTGTTTTCGTCTTGAATGGATCCTTTACTTAGCCTAAAATAGACACGAAATTAATTGTTAGTTGATTTTAAATTATTTCATTGTTATTTGTTGTAGATCACGGCGGTGGTCATGGACATTCCCATGGCGGAGTTCCTCCGCCTGCAAATGTAAGGCATCTCACAGAGATCGTGAACAGCAATGCTGACATGGCCTTGGGTCATAACGCTACGGACACCGAAGAAACAGACGAGATGGTCCCACCGAAGCCCGACAAAGTACCAAATAATAAGAAGCAGACGCCATGCAGAGCGGCACACGACCCCGGCCACATGAATATGAAGGGCGTGTTCCTGCATATCCTATCTGATGCATTAGGTAAGTGCTCTTATGTTGTTCTGTAGTAAATATGTTATTAAATTTAAAAAGTATCTTACAGGTCACCAGTGTAAGTAGACTAGGTTCTATTTCAGATTTTTATAACTATTAATAATATAGTTTGTGTTTACGTTTCTATACAGAGTCAAATGTTATAGGAATATTTCTTTCTTTTTTTTCTTTAAAAAAAAACGTTGTCCCACACTAAGATTTTCTCCTGTGTCATGGGTGCGGTTACGAACATACAATTTCACATACACATGACACCCAGATCCGAAACAACAATTTGTGGATCACACAAAGTGTTGTTCCGTGAGGGAATCCAACCCGCGACACGTTGCACGGCAGCCCGTTGTCCAGCCACCGCACCAACTGTGTGATCTGATAACCAACGTCCTCTAATCTTCATACAAGACTGATTTTAGCTTAAAAATGATGTCACTCGTAGAAAGATATATTACCTCATTGTTTGTTAGCGGTTGCATGTGAAATTGAAAGAAAATACAATGCGTGCCACTAGTAATTTCAATCCGTAATACCCAGCTCGTGGACGACTAGATCGAAAAGGTGTTAGATGACACAATTACGTCATCAGACATTATATTTTCTCTTTTGTTCCCACCTACAAGCTTAAACCTCTTTAGTGTTAAGTGACTTAAATGTCAGCCTTATATGTATCTTTTGAATTTAAGTAAATTATTCTTATTATTTTATTTATACTACATTTCTTTGATTGCTTTTTAATTGCCTTTCTTTGCGGTTTGTTTTCGTTCTGTTGCGGTAATACTAAAAATAGCTTTTTAAAAAATCACTTTTACCTTAAACTAGGTTTAATAAATCAATTAATTAAAAGGACAATAATCATGACGACCGTTCCGTTCGTGTTAAGAAATTTAGTGCAGACTGAAGGGTCTGGCCTGCAAACCCTCACGCTGAAAAATATCTTATCTATAATAATGTATAAGAATGACGATGATGCAGTTATAGGTCATCCCAGCGTAGAATTAGGGATGATAGTTCGATCTTGATCCTATTAGAACATCGGGAAACGAACGCTCCACTTTAGTGATATCAGAGTTTATTGTATTCAAAGTAAAAAAAGTCTTTCTTATATTAGTAAGTAGTATGAATATTTTAAATATCATCAATGTGGAGGTCTTCGTGCTGAATTAAAATTAAATAATAAGAGAAAGTGTATCATACTAGTAGTTGTGAGCGGATTTTAATTGCTTTCATTGAGTTAGACGGAGCTACGTAGGCGACTGCGTAAGCAATGCTTGCACGTGGTTATCGCGATCTGTTACGTTTCGTTTTGTTTCTCCTAATAGTCTTACTCGGTTGAATATTGAATAGCACTCGTATTAACGCGGACAATCACTTTTAGTATTCGAGTCTAGTCGTAATTAAAAAAATACGATACCTACACTTACCTATATGAAATATTTATTTAATTTTTGTTTTAGAATGTAACGGCCAATATTTACACTACAATTTATATAACTTGGATAATTTCTTAGTCTCTAGTCTGTAAGCTTTCTATAAACTATGTAATAAAAAAAAAAAAATAAGTAGAGCAACTTAAATAAAACGTGAAACTAACATTTGGATATTTTAGTGTACACCCTAAAGCCGCAAAATGTATTATAACTACATAAGTACCTACGTATAATATGTATATATATTTTTAATGACATACAGAAAATGAAAAACAGTAGAACAATCCTTTCGCGCTGCAATAACCAATGAACATCTACACGAGTATAAATAATTAATTTATCCATGCGGTTTTGCACATGCAAATGCTATGGTACATAAAGTAGAAGAAATATACTATAGTATAATATATTGTCATCATTCGAAGAATAGTTATTATACATATACTTATGTGTCATAATTTATAAGATTTTTCCTTAAATCTATTGATTGCCTCATTTCTATGGTAACCTCCACTAACTGGTAGGTTAAGGAAAACATATTATGTTTTTCTACTAAACGAAATCGATCCGGAAGAGGCCATGTACATAAATAAGCAGCTATAGGAAAATAATATTACAAAGACTCAGTTTTTCCTCTAAAAAGTTTCTATATGACCTCCTTTAAGGTCTGTGTAGCAAATAACTGCGAGTCTATGGTCATACATCTATAATGCTATGGTTGTTATTACTATATTGACGTTTACGGCTAAACAGAATATCTGGATAGCCGCTACCAGATTTTGAATATAGAACGTGTTTTGTATAAACTACGTGTGGGGAAGTCGTGTGACGTATCGAGATTTCGATTCCCGCACGGCATAACCCTGTGTGTAATCTACAAATTATTGTTAAGTGTATGCGTGTGGGGCAACATCTATATTTAAAGTAAATAAATAAATTAATATTGTACTCTCAAGTCGTATCCTAAATTGTCTCTCTAGAAAAAATATCAAGTCATTAGTAAGAAAAAATATAATCTGTTGGCACGATCTATGTTTTATGTTTACTGCAGTCATTTAAAGGCACACGAGAGAGCTAACACATTCATAGATAATGACACTAGTGACAAGGAAAAAACATGAATGTACGTTCCATGTGATATAGACCCGAGCGTAGCGCGTGCATCAAAGAGCTAATAGACCATCACAGATGTAGCCTAATAGAAGCGATGTTCAACTGTGTTTGCGGATGTAAGCGCAATAATGTAACATGACCCTGGCCTGGAACAGCCGGGAAATAGATACCTTACTTCATAGAGAGAAAGGGAATGTCAGTGAAGCTTACTGACTAAAAGTCACACACAGTGTGGGTAAGAGACAAAGCTAGTACACAACTTGTATAGCTCTTTCTCTTACCCACACTGAGTGTGACTAAGACTCAGCGTGGGTAAGAGAAAGTGCTATACAAGTTGTCTAGCTCTGGCTCTTTCTTACACTGAAGTAAGATTAAAACAGTCTAACTTTGAACATCATGGTTAGCCCACAGAAGAAGCAACAGGATGGTTTTTAGTCAGAAAGCGTTACTGACAATCCCTTTCTAAATGTAAAGTATCCATTCGACGATACTCCCCATCAAAAGAAATTCAATATGGGTACTATGAACATACATAGAGCGTAGATCCATTCATCTAAATGTCTAAACATAGGACCAAAGCCGGTGTTGGGGCGGGTCTGATGTTAATCAAAGCGAAGCTGTAACATTTAGGTCACCGAACACTGCCTTAACCTAGAAACGTTTAGTTGAACTTAAGATTAAACCTGTTAGTAGTTAGTATTATCAGGAGATATAGGACCTATATATGTATAATAATTATCGCAATCAACTTGCCTAATTAGTCATTTCAGTGATAGTCTGAATGACGTACCCGTTTATTTGAATGACAGTTTTTTTTTAAATTGTGATGGGATTGTCATATTTTTTCTTTTTAATAAACGTTGCCCTACATTAGAATTTTTCGTGCGTCGCAGTTGCGTTTACAAACATACAATTTCACATACACCAGACCCGGAACAACAATTTGTGGATCACACAAAGAGTTACCCAGCTACCGCGCCCCCCTTCCAGTCAAACTAAGTTGCTGACAAATGTGTAGGTTCTAACTTAGAAATGTGATCTATCTAGAAATTGAAATTGAATTTATGCATAACCAGAAATATGCTACGTTAATTTAGTCATATAAAATAAAAGTCCTTCAATGAACGCGCTAGTCAAACAATCAAAGAAACAATGCAGAATTTTTTGCTAACTGGCCAGAAAACAGCACCTTTACCCGTCAAAAATCGCTAATTCAAAATTAAAACAAATCGATAATTCTATATATTATACACTAGTGATCTAAAATGGCTATGATTGTAACCTAGACTCGGTTACGTGTGTTGCATGAATGATTATAATTATTAATATTGTACGTTATAAAAATATATTGATTGATAGGAATGCCCTTCCATAAACGTTGCTACATGTAATTTATCACACCGAGATATTTTTTATACATATAGGGTGGTAGCTAAATCTGGTGCTCGAATAAAACAACTTTTTTCATATTTTTTTATTTTCTCTATGCAAAATTATCAATCAGCTGTTGACATTTGTATGTTTTTTTTTGCGATTTGGATATTGGTTACAATGAAGAAGTTGTTGTAATTGGGTAGTTTCCTAGGTCAATAATAAATTAATTCGACGTTTCAATACAATAAAATATTGAGAAATAACTATCTATACTTTTATTCATCGATCGATCGATAAACTAAGTTTTAGATATTTTGTAGCTAATTATTAAGAAATAAGTAAGCTATTTGACGCAAAAATACTATGACGTCATAATACAGTTTTTTAAAAAAAAATAGAAGAGTATCGTTTTTTAAATTTGGATAAAAGTATAGAATTTGACTAGTTGGAAACTACCTTATTGAGCACCAAAACCGGCTCCTTGTATACATCCCTCGTTCAAAATGACACCCTGAATATGTATACAGTTGACGTTGATCTAATAATCGCTAACACATCTTCTGATATTTGAGTAATTGGTTTTTTCGTACTATTCGTGTTTGGATAATCGATATTATTAAACTTAGCTATGGATTATTATCGCTCTCGTTATTATTAAGGAAATTACATGACGTACCTAAAAGTTATTTGTTACCGTGCTGTGCCAAATTATTCTTCACATCACACCATCAGCCTTTGAGTGCCCACTGGCCTGGCCTGGCCACAAAGGCCTCTTCAAAGACACGGAGACAATTTGAGCAATCATCTCGCTTGCTCAAGGCAAATTGGCGAATTAAAACTTATACCTAATTAGAAATTATTAGTCCACGTTTCGTCAGTGTTTTTCAGAGGTATTGCAAACAGACACTCCGGTTTAATTTATTAAATATATGTACTTAGTCGGGTCATAAGTTCTGTCAAAACCTTATATTTTTAATTTTCGATTACTGGCCAGAAATTCTTCGACTTATTTTAAAAATAGAACTTTCGCGCTTGTAGAAAATAAAAAAGAAATTATTTTTTATTCATTTTTAAATA